AAAAAAAAAAAAAAAAAAAAAAAAAAAAAAAAATGTAGAGATTTAGTTCTGGTGAAACTTGTTTAGTTATTGAGACTAAATCTAGGCGTGGTTGCACAATTCTTTAATTCCAGCACTCTGGAGGCTGAGGTAGAAGAATGGCGAGCTTGAGACCAGCCTGGGTTATATGTAGCAAGACTGTCCCAGAGAACTGAAGTGATGCTAGATGAGGTGGTCCACACCTTAAATCCCTGCACTTGAGGATGCTAAGGCAGGAGAGCCTGTCTCAATGAATAAACAAACAAAAATACCCAACAGAGACGGAAGAGACAGGCTCCCCGGGAAAAGCACTTGTGCAAGCGTGAGAACTAGAATTTGAATCCCTAGAAACCACTAGAAAGCCAGGTGGGCATGATGTTAGCAGAGACAGGATCCCCAAAGCAAGCTCTGGGTTCAATTGAGAGATCCTGACTCAGTGATTATGGTGGAGACCAATCGAGGAAGAATCCTGACATCCACCTCAGGTGCTCACACATGCGCACATGCGCACACGCACACAAGAAATAAGACAGAAACCAAAATTGTTACTAAATACATATTTAAGGGCATGCTTTTTTTTTCCTCTCTTCTATTACAGTGGCCCATCAACTACTGTGTAGACAGTGGTTGGGGGACCATAGGACTCACACTGACTCAAGTCTTCATGTTCCATTGGTAGAGGGCTAGCCTCTCCAAAGAGGCCAACTTTGGGTAAGGTTCCCACATAGAACCCTCTGTGAACTTGCATTCCCGCAGAGGTGATTCCAAAATGGATGGCTGCAGAGGGCTCCAGGGGTCGAGCTGAACCTGCCCTGGCCCTGCGTGACTCTTCCACATCCTTGGGACTTCCTTCTCCTCCATGCAGTCTCAGCAACGGCTTCTTTAACACGTTTTCATAAGAGTGAGAATGGGACATATCCTCTGGGCTTTGAGATTTTGCCCCTGTGTTTCTTGGTGAAAATATTTGTGAAACAGGATCTAATGGGTTTGTTTGATGATCTGCTCCTGTCCTTGGCTTATCTTGAATAAAATTTCACATTTCTTTGTAACTCTTTGGTTTCTGGGTCTATGGAATGGATGTCAGTGTCCCCCTAAAGGGAAAATGTAAAAGTACCTCTAAGATGTTTCAGGTGTCCGGGTCCCCACTTCTGTCTTCAGGGGACAGATTCTCTCTCCGGCATCCTGGGCCTGTAGCACAAGGAAATGCTTTTCCCAGGCCACCTGGTACAGGAGCAGTGGGTACAACACTCGGCCACCCAGCCTGCAGCAATAGAATTTGCTCTAATACCGAGACAGCAGAAAGGTGGCGGATTTGGAAAAGCACTAAAATTCCAGACTCCGGTGTGGATCAGTGCTTACCTCCCCTCTGTGAGGCCCTGGAATTGATCCCTAGTACCACATAAGACATGGGTAATCCTGTCACCTTGCCACTTGGAGCAGGTCTGTGAGGGGAGAATTAACTCAGTCCCCTACCCACCCCACCCCACCCCACGCCAGAGAGCAACACCTTCCGGGAGAACCCAGGTACAGAGAGCCGAGGGAAATTAGCACTACTCACCTGCCTGCCTGCCTGCTTGGTGTCCGGCTTTAGCGTCTGTCCCCCCTCTCCCCACAACCCCCTCCCGGCTCCTGCCACCCCTTGCTGGTGTCAGACTCCAGCTTCTCCAGCCTCCCAACATGGACTGAAGACCACAGCTCTCCAGGATCTTCTAGCCTTCAGCACCAGATTGAGACTCTGGCGTTCAGCTTCACGGAGTGAGCAGGGACCGAGTTCTCAGCCTCTCCACTATGAAGATGGCCATTGGTCTCTACTGCAGAAGCCATTCTAGTAGGTTTTTTATGGCATATATATTCTTTGGCTCTAGAGAACACCACCTAATACAACAAAGCCTCTAGACTTTTAGGTATTTAATAGTTCGAGTCCAGGGCTAGAGGGACAGCTCAACAGTTTAGGGCATTTGTTGCCCTTCCAGAGTACCCCGGTTTGATTCCCAGGACCCACACAGCAGCTCACAACCATTTGTAAACTCCAGTCCCAGGAAACCCAAAGCTTTCCTCTGGCCTCTGCAAGCACCAGGCACACACAAACACATAAAATAAAAATAAATCTTTTTTAAAAATAAAAGAGGTGCAGTGGCCTTCATTCATTAGACTAACAGCAGTGTGACATTGCTTCTCAGCCTTTCCTTTGTCCGGGGAACCTGCCAACTGCCCACTTACAGAACCCCCCAAAGGCACCCACTTGTCACCTGAGCAGTATTAGTGAATGGGACAAGAGGTGCCCTGTGGTGATCCAGTGGATGGAAATCTGGCATACTGAGGAAAGAGTTCCTGGATTTTGATGGGTTTGGGCAGCCACACCTCCCCATCTCCCCAGTGTAAGCTTGATGAGTATTACAGATCGTCAGTACAGTTCAGTGAGCAGAAGTCCTGGCTCTGTGATTTCAATCTGCCAACTATTTAATGTCATCTCTCTCCTTCCTCCATCCGTAAGATGGGAAACAGGCACTGACCTCATAAGGGGTTGCCATGGTGATTAGTCAGTACAAGGGAAGCCCTTTAGAATAGCCCCTGACTTAGGCCATACCTATGTCCTCGCCCTTACAGAGCACTGGACAGAAATAGTCAACACGCCATGGGCCTCTGTGCTGGCAGATGCCAGGTTCCCCTCAGTGTGATCTCACAGGACTGTTAGCTAGACTGCCCGGAACCTGGATCCAGCAGTGGAGAGAGATGCCACCACAGGACAGACTCTGGCCTGCTCCAGGTCCCTCGAAAGGAAGGAAGGAACTTGAAACAGAAGAGCCAGCATAATTTCCAGATCTAGTTCTGGACCCATCCCACATGCCAGGCCTCGGAAACCACAGCTCCAGCTCTAAATTCCAGAAGTCACCAGGCCTCTAAAGGACAGCTCTGCTACACAACTACTGTGTCCTCAGGGGAATCACTTGTCCACTTAGATGTGAAGTTGGGACATTTGGGGAAGCTTTGCGGAGGTGTTGAGGAGCCGGTCATGGGACAGCCTGACAGAGCAGCACTCGGGAATCAATGGTGCCTTGGCTCTGTTTTCTTTGGCTTCCTCCTTGCACCTGAATATCCTCGGTCCTGGGTACCAGATCCTGGAGAAGAAAGTCTATCTGCCCCTAGTCCTCCAGTCCTCCCAGTCCTCCCAGTCCTTCAATCCTCTAGTCCTCCAGTCCTCACAGTCCTCCAGTCCTCCGGTCCTCCAGTCCTCCAGTTTTCACTGTCCTCCAGTCCTATAATCCTCCCTATCCTCTCAGTCCTCTCAGTCCTCCAAATCCTCCCAGTCCTCCAATCCACACAGTACTCCTAGTCCTCACAATCCTCCTAGTCCTCTAGTCCTTCCCAGTCCTCCTAGTCCTCCAGTCCTCCAGCCCTCCAGTCCTCACAGTCCTTCAGTCCTCCCAGTCTTCCAGCCCTCCAGTCCTCACAGTCCTCACAGTCCTCACAGTCCTTCAGTCCTCACAGTCCTCCAGCCCTCCAGTCCTCCCAGTCCTCCCAGTCCTCCCAGTCCTCCAGTCCTCCAGTCCTCCTAGTCCTCCAGCCCTCCAGTCCTCCAGTCCTCCCAGTCCTCCAGGCTTCCAGTCCTCCAACCCTCCAGTCCTCCCAGTCCTCCCAGTCCTCCAGCCCTCCAGCCCTCCAGTCCTCCCAGTCCTCCAGTCCTCCAGTCCTCCAACCCTCCAGTCCTCCCAGTCCTCCAGTCCTCCAATCCTCCCAGTCCTCTCAGTCCTCCAGTCCTCCAGTCCTCCATTCCTCCCAGTCCTCCAAATCCTCCCAGTCCTCTCAGTCCTTCAGTCCTCCCAGTCCTCCTAGTCCTCCAGTCCTCCAATCCTCCCAGTCCTCCCAGTCCTCCCAGTCCTCCAGTCCTTCAGTCCTCCCAGTCCTCCAGCCCTCCAGTCCTCCCAGTCCTCCCAGTCCTCCAGTCCTCCCAGTCCTCCAGTCCTTCAGTCCTCCAGTCTTCTAGTCCTCCCAGTCCTCCAATCCTCCCAGTCCTCCAGTCCTCCCAGTCCTCCAGTCCTTCAGTCCTCCAGTCCTCCAGTCCTCTAGTCCTCCAGTCCTCACAGTCCTTCAGTCCTCACAGTCCTTCAGTCCTCACAGTCCTTCAGTCCTCCGATCCTCCCAGTCCTCCAGTCCTCCCAGTCTCTGTGGGTGATAAAACAGTAAAATGCAGATTCTTTTTCCACTCAGAACTCCTCTTCAAAACTAGAGAGGAGGCACTGGAGAGTGGCTTGGGGGTGGAATACTCTATGTTCTTGTAGATAACATGAGTTCGGTTCCCAGCACCCACATCTGACAGTTTACAGCCTCCTGTAACTCCAGCTCCAGGAGATGAACTCAGTACTCTCTTCTGGCTCCGTGGGCACTCACTCTTGCACACAAATCCACACACACACACACACACACACACACACACGTATACATGTAATTTAAATTTTTAGTTGGAATCTATTTTTAATATATGTAAAAATAGGAAGAATTAAAAGGTCGTCCATTAGCTAGGTGTGGAGGTGCATGCTTTTAATCCTAGCACTTGGAAGGCAGAGGCAGGCAGATCTCTTTTGAGTTTGAGGCCAGCATGGTCTCAGAGTGAGTTCCAGGACAGCCAGGACTATATTGTGAGACCCTGTCTACAAAAAACAAAAGGTTGGCCGGGCAGTGGTGGCACACACCTTTAATCTCAGCACTCAGGAAGCAGAGCCAGGTGGATCTCTGTGAGTTCGAGGCTAGCCTGATCTACAGAACAAGTTCCAGGACAGCCTGGTCTACAGAGTGAGATCTAGGACAGGCACCAAAACTACACAGAACCCTGTCTAAAAACAAAAAAGAATTAATGGCCAATGTGATTAAAGCAAAATAACATCTAAAAAACATTTTACAAAAGATTCTAAATAATCATTTCTTATATAAAGCCAGTCTGAGATACAACATATGCAGAAACCCAAGAAAATGAACTCAGAAAAATAATAAAATATATAAGGGCTCATAAGGCAGCTGGCTAAAAAGTAAATATGCCAAAATCTGTAGCCTTTCTATATATCAGCAATAATCAATCTGATTTTTTAGGTTAACATTCACAGCGGTAACATGAGTAATAAAGTACCGAGAAATAATACAATGAAAGTCTTTGTACATATTTTATGATGGAAATAAAAAATGTTCCTGAAGGTCATAAAAGAAGACACAAGAGAAAATATATCATGTTCCCAGGCTGAAGAACTCAATAGTATAAAAAAAAATCTATAAATTTATATTTTTATCAGGACCAAAATTAGATTTTGTGTGTGCATATCTTTGTTGTGTGTCTGTGTGTATGTGTCTGTGTGTGTGTGTATCTGTGTATGTGGTGGTGGTGTGTGTATCAGATGTGTGTAGTGGTTGGGTATATGTGGTAGGCATGTGTGGAAGGTGTGTCTGTGTGTGTGTGTGTGTGTGTGTGTGTGGTAGGTATGTGTGTGTGTGGTGATTGTATATGTGTGTGGTAGGTGTGTCTATAGGTATTTGTTTGTCTGTGGTAGGTGTGTCTGTGTGTGGTAGGTGTGTCTGTGTGTGTGTGTGGTTGTGTATGTGTGTGTGTGGTAGGTGTGTCTGTGGATGTCCATGGATGTGTATGTGGTAGGTGTGTCTCTGTGTGTGTGGTAGATGTGTCTCTGTGTGTGTGGTAGATGTGTTGGTGTGTGGTAGGTGTGTCTGTGGGTGTGTCTGTGTGTATGTGGTTGTGTATGTGTGTGGTAGGTGTATCTGTGGGTCTCTGTGTTATTGGTAGGTGTGTGGGTGATGGTTGTGTATGTGTGTGGTAGATGTGTCTGGGTGTGTGTATTGGTAGTTGTGTGTGGTAGGTGTGTCTGTGGGTGTGTATGTGTGTGGTAGGTGTGGGGGGCGTGCACCCATAGATGTTGGTCAGAGAAAGGCGTCTGGTGTTCTCCACTCACTCTGCATTATTCCTCTGAAACTGAGCCTCTTGCTGAACCTGGAGCTAGGCTGGCAGCCAGCAACCCGCAGTGATCCTCCTCCTCCAGTTTCCACTCCT